TGTAGAAACTCTTTGTTTTTTCCCTGCTATTCATCATGATTTTCCAGTCGCTTCATTGTGTGGATGAACGAGTTGGGGTGGGTATAAATGTAATCTTTCCTTTGTTTTGTCTCTTATTGTTTGCATCCTGCAAGCAACTCTTTCTTCACCATCTCTCAGGAAATAGTGATCAACCAGGTGGAACAGCTCACCTGTTAAGGTGAGCCATGTAGCTCTCATTACCCTTTCCAAAAGAAGTAGGTTGTAGTTATAAGTGGTGACAGGTACATACATACACAAAAGCATTTATAATTAAAGGGACACACACACACACACACACACACACACACATATATATAATTATTTTAAAAAAATATGATTCCATCGCTACATAAGTGTTCTCATGTTTCAAAAATAGAAGCTAAAAAACCAGCTCTATTTCATCCTCAAGCGAATTTTAGAATAACTAATCTTTAAATTTACGCAGCTTTATAAGCATAAACATTCATAATATTAATTACATGAAAATGGTGAAAACGCCTATATGAGATGCTGGGGACCCCCGAACACTTGCGAAAAGAAGAAGAATCCAGGAACATTGTCGGCCGGCCAAGATATTGTATTATCATTAGAACTCTCGCTTCGGCGAATCAAAACTTTATGTGAAGATATCAACCCGACTGCAAGATAAGTTGATTCGTTTGGCTTGATCTGTTTTCATATATGTATGTATTCGCTCGCACCTTCTATTCTTTAATGATGTCCTCCCACTTTGTTAAATGAATGTTCTTTTTTTTCTTTTTTTCTTTATTTCGTTATATATATTTATAAATAAATGTTTTATTTTGAAATCCATCGTCTTGTGTCTGTTCTCCGTTGATTCCCTTGTGTCACTTCCATTTCTGAGTGAAGACCGAGAAAAGAAACCACGTTTTCCTTTTTTTTAGAACCCGTGGTTCATCTATATGCTACAAGTTCGTAACAATATATATATATATATATATATATATATATATATTTACACACAAAATTTGTGTAGAATATATCTAGCCATTTAATATTAATGAGAAAATAGCATTAAACAATATCATCTTAGCCTTCTTCAAAGTACTCTCCTTCAGATGTCATATACTTATCCCAGCATTCCCATCTATATTTTTTAAAAACAGTCTACAAAGTTCTCTTTCAGGATCCTTATGTTATACTCTGCTTCAAACTAGATCTCTTTCTGATTCACTATACATCAAAACCTGTTGGTCAGATGTGAACACTAAGAAGGTAAAACTAAAACTAAAAATGTTGCTCTCAAAATTAAGTATAAAATCATATACTTATTATAAAACCCAGGTTGTGTGTGTGTGTGTGTGTGTGTGTGTGTGTGTTTATATATTGGATCAGATTTCCTAGATTTTTCAACCGATTTCAACAAAACTTCACAGGACTACGTAAAATTACCTTGCGGTGGTACTGACAGTGCCAAAAATTGGAAAAACACAATTGTTTTTACATGAAATCAATTTGAAAACACGATTAAGAGACATCGCGAGAATGAAAGGGGGACAACTCATATCAAGTTATACTTATTATAAAACCCAGGTTGGTTGTTTGTGTGTGTGTGTGTGTGTGTAATTTTATGTGTTCATTTATATATGGGATCGGATTTCCTACATTTTTCAACCGATTTCAACAAAACTTCACTTTTTTTTTGGGCAGGTAGTGTTTTTTATTGTCTTGCACACTTTTTTCTTTATTTTTACATTCAGAATGCTTTAAAAATTCCATTTACAAGACAATTGTTTATAATAAAATTCTATTCAATCGGTAGACTCATAACGATTGAAAACAATGTTTTTGTTTGAGTTTGGGTTTGAGCAATTCGTAAAAAAAAAAAAAAAAAACTAATTAAAACATGCGTGTTTGTCAACCTTAAACAATAATCTTTGTCAATTTTATTTTTCAGTCTTTATGATGGTCGATACTTGATCTATCTCTTACTATTACATCCCCGGGCAATGCCGGGCTCTACTGCTAGTACAATATAAAAGGAGCCAATCACAAACGTTGCTGCTAAAACAAAAACATGAAAAACAAGCAAGGAGTCATGATCCACTATATCTGCATTTAAGAACACTGCTCACAACACTGTAGAGCAGTCATAGGAAATGGGAAAGCTGTTAACATCACCACCAGTGACCACTGTCAACCAACCCGAAACATGCAACTCCAGGCCCTACTGACTCTCCTCTTCTTTCAAGTTTTTTCTCTTGCCTACAAGACATTCCACCTTAATCCTCTATATCAGCAATACAAAGAATTTTATCTTAAAACAATTCTTGTTTATTGTTTTGTTTGCCTCACTGGCAGTACTTCAGAGTTTCAGAGATCCAAAGTCATTTTATTTATTTATTTTACAGTTATTATTGTTCGATATATGGATATTGTCAACAGATATTTGGAGTCTACTAGTATAGATATAAGTTCATTAATATGAGAATAAATAACACTTTGATCTGATAAACAGCAAGTTACTTGAAAAAATAAAAAACATATGTAATTATAAAGTCTGCCAGGAAAGTATCCAGCCATTTAATATTAATGAAAAAATATAGAGTTAAGATGCCAATCCCTTCTCCTTTGTTTAAAAATGTTGTTGTTAGCTAAATATGTCATTGGACTGAATGTATCTATCTTTCATTCATTAAATACATAAATACATTCAAAATTGCAGTTCCCAAACTGGAGAAGATGTTATTTTGCTTGGAGTTTCTTGATTTTATCATAAAGGCTTTAGGAATCCAAAACGATTTTATTGTTTGTTTTTTTTTACAATTAATATTGTTTAATATATGGATGTAATTAACAAATATCTGGACTCTATTAATAGAAATGTCAATGCCTGGCAGTATAAGTTTATTAATATGAGAATAAATGGCACTTTAATCTGATAAATCGCAAGTTACTGTAAAAGATAAAGGACAAACTCTTTGTTCTCTATCTTTTATATACAGTCTGTATAGTACTGAATATATCTATTATATACAGTCTGTCTGGAAAGCATCCCACCATATAATATTAATGAAAAATAGCCTACCTAAAACAATGGCATCTTAGTTGCCTTCAGAGTACTTCCCCATGACCTCACAAATTTATCCCACTGTCTCTTCCACTTTTAAAAACAATCTGCAAAGTCCACTTTTGGGATTACCGTCAGCTGCTTTGTTTCATTCTTCTTAATCTTGTCCACAAATTTTCAATATTGATTTTATCCTTTGAAAATGCACAAATCACAAGAAGCAAAATCTGGATTGTAGTCTGTGTGTGTGTGTGTGTGTGTGTAGGGGGGGATACTGACACATAGGGTGGTGGAATGTTTTGCATCCCCCGCAGCAAAAAAAAAAAACCTGCAAAATCTGCTTGCATACATATTTTGAATGTAACAGTCACACAGTACTAAATTGTGTCTCACTAACAACTTTGTAACCTCACAGGGGAATATCTGTTCATTAAGGTCCACTCTGATTGGTTGCCACATTATATCAAGGCCATGTAACTGAGATATTCAAAATGGCTGGATACATAAGACTTAATATACATCTTTCAAGAAGCTAAAATGTGTCAAAATTGTTAACTGATTTGAAAACATCGTTATTATGTGACCTTATCTGACTTTCATTCAAGTAGACAACTGAGAAATGTTACTAGTGTTATGTTCAAATAAAACCAAAGTTATATTAAAAGCTTCACTATTATTTGATTTATAATCCTGAAAAGACTATGATTTTATTTCACCATGATTATGTTTAAATATTGAGTAATATGACTATTATATAGCATACTTCCTACTATCTAATACATATGTATTAAATTTTGACAAAAAAAAAAACATAAATAAAAAAACACTTTTCACTTAATCAATATCATCATTTTTGAATATAAGAAGAGGAATCAATAAATCTGTAGCCTGGTATCTAGCTATTAGCAGAATTTTACTGTATAATGTTCGATCTATATTCATATTTGCCACTTTATTAAATGCATTGACAAGGAAGAAGATTATGTTGAGAATTAAATGCTTCTTTAATTATTAAGCTACAAACTTATTGATGTACACTCTCATTTTTTAATAACTGTACCACAAATGTGTCCCAGGATGATAAATAGTTATTACTTGAAATTTTGATCTTAAATTTTCACTGTATAATGTTTGATCCATATGATTAATATTTATAGATCATGTTGAAAATTAAATATTTCTTACAAAAAAAAAAATGCTTTTTTTGTCATTAGGTATACTGACTAATTGATGTAACCACCATATTCATCACTGAATCAAGTGCATTGCCAAGGAAAGAGATTATATTAAAAAATAAATATTTATTCTATAAAATAAACATATTTTTCATCATAAGGCTACAGACTTATTGATGTACCTACACACACACAAATACACATATATATTATTAGGCTGTGGATTTATTTATGTATCTACATATATGTGTGTGTGTGCCTATGTAGAGAATTTTTTCCAAACATCTTCCCCAATTTGAATTTTTTTTAGTATTTTATAAATTCTGTTATTTTATTTGCATTTTTATCTTTTATTATAAAGACAAGCAATGTCATCATATGTGAATGCAAAATCCACGGCAGCCAATAACTGTTTTAAGTTTTATTTATCCTTTAATTTTTATATTTTCATACACACACATATATACACACACAGCTGTGTACATAGTCTCACACAAATACAAAGAAACACAAATGCAGATGAACACAAATATAAACAAACACAAAAAAATTGTATACACACTAACACACAAATATACACACAAACCAGATACTATCTGCAAAACTTCGACTCAAGAAGATAAGTTTTGAACATTTTATTTGTTTGCTGTTAATTATATTTTTTAATATTAAACTCTACTTATAAAGACTGCTTGCCTTAAAAGCATTATCACTCAGAAATACACAGGTTGACCATTTATTTTTATTTATTTTGCAAAACAAATTCTTTGTTATTAGATAGATAGATAGACAGATAGATAGATAGATAGATAGATAGATAGATAGATAGATAGATAGATAGATAGATAGATAGATAGACTGATTGATAAAGCAATTTATCTTTAGAATGCTATGACAGAAGATATAACAAGCTATCAACAGACCACTGATAGATAGATAGATAGATAGATAGATAGATAGATAGATAGCCTAATGATGAAAAAAGAAACTTTTACACAGCAAAATATTTATTTTTCAATATAATCCTTTCTTTGTCAATGCACTCAATCTTTCCCTATATAGACTGAACATTATACAGTAAAGATTTCATATCAAAATTCAGTCTTAGGGTACAAACTAACTGATCTCCTCTAGTATATAACACAGCTAGCTTGTAATGAACTGAATTCAGCATGCGGTAAAACATGCCAGGAAAATCCAAAAATTGTTCTTGAAATAAGTAAATAATCTATCAAGTACTCTGTATAAGTCTGCCTGGATAAAGACATTCAATTTTGCTTTTTTCCCCTTTCTCTTCTACATTTAACATTCAACAAATTGCTGCATCAATATTCTCTCAATAATATTTAAAAAAAAGAAGTGAACAGCTGATCTCATTTCTCTTTATATGGCTTTTATTTTTGCTAACTCAGGCAGATAATAACTTCACTTTAAAAGTGATTTAAATCTATGATTTCAGCCAATCATCAGATGCAAAGATGCTTCGGCACTGTCTGATTTGCTGTATTATACAACTACTGGAGTACAGAGATCTTTAAATGGGACAGTAGAAAAGATATAAAACACTTCAATGTATGGATTCTATTGAATCTTGCATGATTTTTTCCCATAACAAAAAATACTAGAATATTTGAGAAATTTTATATAGCCTTCAATTGAGGCTTTATTCGCTCATTAGAGAGCTGTGGCAATGAAGGAGAAAACTAAGTCTTACCTAGAAAAGAATTCATGTTCTTTGTGCTATCTGTTGAAAAAAAAAGAAAATCAGAATCAAGATCAGGTTGATTTTAGAAGACCTCAAAATATGGAAATTGTTTGCACTTCCCTATCAATCTCGACCAATCATGACTTTTCTGATCCCATCAATAAAAAGAATGCTCCTTTGAACTGGGGCTTTGCTTGGCTCTTTGTGGGTGAAGAGGTAGTTGTGTATTGCGAGTTATGAAGTGAATCTTTGAACCTTTTCATTTATGTTCCCAGTATTTTCTGATGTTGAACTTCTTAGACTGATTTTTGACCATTGGAATTACAACCCTTGATTTATGATTTTTGGGATCTGAACCTCCCTACTACAATAACTAAGTATTATCTTTTGCCTTAGATTAAAAGACCCTTGGAATTATGAACTCAGACTTATGATTTTTGGGATCTGGACCTAATTATAATATTTACATCAAGATTATTTTAAAACTATTAAAACAATGATATTAAAAATACTTTTTATGTCCATTTCTGAGGTTTATATGGTCTGAACAGTTAAGAATACATAGATTTTAATATTTGTTACTCAGAAGTAAGACAACTGAATTAAGGGAAGTGATACAAGTCTGAAAACAATGAAAATTCAAAATTCAGATAGATTCTTAACCGAGATAATTTTCCTGACAAACAACAAGAAACATATGTGAATACTAGGGTCTTCATTATATATCTCAATGATAAAATGACATGAAATATCCAAAGTTGATAAAATGGAAGCGAAGAAAACCAGTTGTATAACTATATGAAGAAAGGATAATTTATGCAATGGTGTATACAGGGTGCAATGGGTAAATAATCACCATTTTACATTTTTAATTTCACATATCAGCATTGTTTCTTTTTGATTTTGTCAATTGCACAGTATAATAGGGCCAGTTTGTCACCATCTGTGAGAAAAAAAGCACAATGACGCAATTCACTCTGCCAGACATTTAAAAACCATATGCTGTATGGATTGGCATTCATGCCAGAAGCTACAATACGAACATTTCAGAGTGTTTGGATGTCAATCTGAGGACAGAGCAGAGGATCTGGAAAGAGCTAAAAGAGTCTAATGGAGATTACGAAGATATGGCTGCTCGAAAAACTCACTCTGATCATTCTGATAAGAAAAGCACTCCCAAATTTGTTGGTAAAGAACTCAGACTCTACACATAGCCCTACATCAAGTGTCTTGAGGAGGTAGTGCTGTCCTGGGTCAAGAGGGTGGCTGCTGGAAGACCCTATGTCTGGCAACAGGACTCTGCAACATGCTACACAAGCAGGAGGACCCAGTCATGGCTGTCAGACAATTTCTGTGACAACATCACCCCTTAAATCTGGCCACCTAACTCCCCAGACTTCAGCCCCCTTGATTATTGTGTTGGGTACAGTTGAGTGAAAGATCAAAAAATCTTCTTATAACATGAAAGATAAACTGAAGGCAAGAATTATGGCAGTATTCACAAACATAAACAAGAAGCTTGTCCAGAAGAGCTGCAGGAGATTCCCAAATTGTCTGGTGGCTGTGGTTGAAGCAAATGGCGATTTTATTGAATAAATTTACTCTTTAGTATTTCAAGATATTTTGTATAATTTTAGCAAATATATCTGTTAAAATGAGATATCAGTATTATTTTCTCTTTTTTTGTGTATTTTAGACGGCAATTTATCCATCGCAGACACTATGTGTGTGTGAATGTTTGCATATACAGATTTATTTTTTAAATATTTATGAGAGTTATAAACTGGTGGACAAAATGACTTCATGTCACAAAATTAACAAAATAAGTTATATTTAACATAATGACATTGAATCAAAAATATGCAAATTTCGATTATTAAGATTTTTGTTTATTTTCTGTATATAGCATAATTGCTACATGTGAAGGTCTTTAGAAGCATTGGCTTGGTAGTAATGGGAGTGTGTAGAATATGTCACTGTGTATTCATGAATATGTGTGTGCATGTTTCTTATTAGTTTGGTGCCAGTCATTTCAATGATAGCAAGAAGATCAAATTTCAAATCAAAATTGTTCATTTAAAGTGCGGCATTTATTAGAAAATATATTTAGTTTATATATAGGAGTCATAAAATTAACTTTTAGCTTATACTCTTTTCTTGTTACCCAGACATTGTTGCCAGATAGCAAATGGATATTAATCCTTGTAACAGAGATGTCCATTTCAATTTCATTCAAATTGTGTGCATATTTCAGTTTATTGACAGACCTAAAAATACTATAAAATGAAAAAAAAAAAAAAAAATTAAATAATTTTATTTATTACTGAATAATTTTCAAAAAGTTTAATAGAATTTTATATAATTATCAGTTTTTTTGTAGGGTTTAAAAAATAAACATTATTTTTGCTTCTAATTTCATGATTTTGTGACTGGCTTAAACTGATGTATTATTGCAATGTCTTATTTCAAACTTAGTTAAATTCAGAGAGAGAGAGAGAGAGAGAGAGAGAGAGAGAGAGAGAGAGAGAGTGTGTGTGTGTTTGTGTGTGTGTACATTAAATAGGACAAGCACATGTAAGTCACTCACACACAACACAGATATACAGGCCTGTATTACATATACAAAGTTACCTGCAGACAGTGTGTGACAGAGAGAGAATCAACTCCTCTCTTATAAACATTATTTTTAGTGGGTAAACATGTTTGAGTTGATATTCATTATTTGAAAATAATGTTTATTGTAGTGAGAAATAATGTCAGATTAAAAAGTCCCTTTAAAATTTACTTTGTTTACATTTTGGGTATGAAAATAAAGCTAGCAGATATAGACTTTGAAATCTCCCAATGAGAGGTGTGCATCTCTTACGGAAGTAATAGAGCCTTGCTTTATCATGATGGTTACCAGTGGCCAAATTGGTAGCACATATTTTTGCTAAAAAAGTGGTTTCCCTGTTGGAAAAAGTGAATACAAGTTCAATTAGAGACTTAAAAAACATATACATATATTAATTTTTACTGTGTTGAATAGATAACACACCAACTATTCAAACACAGCAGTCAATAAATACTAACTGATAATAGAGCTTTATAAAATATAAATATATATTGTTAATACTACTTGAGTTTCACCCTGTAAGGTTCATCTGGCTGGGTTAATATATATTTATATCAATATTGCCCCAAAATTCAGTGTTTCAATGTCAAAATTCAGTATGTAAATGTAATTTTTTAACAAGCTTGGATGCATGTTTTAGTCAAGTGACATGTTCATCTATAAATATATTTAGTGTGTTAAAATTTCAGATCTTTATTTAGCAATTGGGCATGATTTGAGAACATTATTATTTCCAGTTTCTTCTCATGGGACAACCACCAAAACTTTGTTTATCCACTATACCTCCTACTTTTTCACTACACTCCATTTAATATTTGGGTTCAAATTTTTCTTTTATTTGGACAATGCCATGCTGTTACTGTATTTGCTCATTTAATGATATTTTATGATTGTAATATTTCTACATGAATTGGTATTCTGTAGAACCAATATATTTCATAGTAGAAGGGCTTAAAATCTGACCACTGCCTTATAAATAATGTTATTTATTAAGCATTGTCCATTGAGGGCACAGCTTTAGCATTTCTTATAGTTACAATTAGAGGTATTGGATTGGTAACTAGTTTACTATTTAATACAGATAAATAAATATATAAATCTGACATAACCTGATGAACCTTATAGTGAGAGGAAACTCCAGTAGAAGTAATATTATATATGTGTACGTGTGTGTGTGTATGTGTGTATAAAGACTGGGAATGAATTTTTTATTTATTAATCCAACAGATTTTTATTACTTAAATATTATTTTTAGTGGATACTCGTATTTGAGTAGATGCTCTGTTTATTTATTAAACGGTATATTTATTTATTTTTGTCTACTGGCCTGAATATTCAAGAAATCTTATTAGAGAAAATATGCACTCTCTGACAGGATTTGAACCAGCGTTCCCCTAGAGGAAACCATCATTAAATCTGATGCACTTTGACCTCATGGCTACAAAGTGCGATGATAACAAAGCAAAGCTGAATAGTGCCTTTAAACACAGATTTTTTTCTGACTCTTGAAATAAACATATGTGTTCAGTTTCATATCCATATTTTCATATTATTTTGTTATCTTAACATTAATTCGTAGCATTTATCAGGAGATCTGAAAATGTTAGCATATAGGAGCAAATACCAAAATCCGCCATTTCAAATTTGGGCCAACTCAATAAAACCCTTGTAACTCAGGCCGAAGTCAAAAGTTCACCACAAAATTTTGTACATATCTTGCTATAAGGCAGATAAATCTGCTGTCAAAAGTTTAAAAAAATTAAAGATACACTTTTTGAGAAATTATGGTCATGGTCAAATAAGATTTGACCTTTAAACAAAACAGTAACTAGATCACCTTTTAGATCTATAAAGTACTTTATGGTATATAATTTAGCTTTGTGGGTGAGAAAACAACTGCGATATTAAACTAGAGATGTAAAATAGATACCATTCAATTTCTGGCATGAAGCACTATAAATGTAACAAATTTGAAAAAAATTTGTATCTGTGATGGTCAGACCCTTGTTGATTTTACACGGAATGACTGAATTTCTAAAGAAAAGGATGGATTTATTTATTAATCTGACAGATTTTTATTACTTAAATGTAAATAATAAGATAAGATTTCTTGGATATTCAGGTTGATAGACAAAAATTAATAAATATACTATTTAATAAATAAATGGAGTGTCCACTCAAATATGTCAAATATATTATAAGTAATAAAAATCTATCGGATTAATATCTGTGTTTAAAGGCACTATTCAAACTTTGCTTGATCATTGATGCACTTTGTAGCTGTGAGATCAGAGAATGTCAGATATAATGATGATTTCCCCAATGGGGACGCAGGTTTGAATCCTGCCAGAGAGTGTTATTTTTTTTTCTAAAAAGATTTCTCCAATATTCAGGCTGGTAGGTGAAAATAAATAAATATTCTATTTAATAAATAAATAGAGTGTCTACTCAAATATGAGCATCCACTAAAAATAATGTTTATATATATATATATATATATATATATATATATATATATAAATAATAGTGTATTTAGACAGTAATCCTTCATTTATGCATGTTTCATTAAAAATGACAGACAAGGTACTATGATTAAACTTTTTATTTAATTATTATTGTGTTTGAACAAGTGCTTTCTTTTTGGGACACAGAGTGTAGAAACTGTCCAAATGTTCTATAATCCTGAGCGCTTTCAGCTATACTTTTAGCCATTATCAAGGATGATTATATATATATATATATATATATATATATATATATGTGTGTGTGTGAAAAGTGTATATAAATATAAATAAATATAAGTATGTATAATTATTTATATATTATATGCGCGGTACTTATTAGAAAGCGCTCAATATCAGAGATAGAGCTAACATATTTGGTTGGATAGATGTGAGTTTGTGACCCTGGGTTTCACGCTTTAGCAATCATCAGACAAACTGATTAATGTTTTAAAAAATTTGGGTTTATGTAGATTGCATGTATTGGTGTTATTGTTATATATATATATCACTTGATGATTAGTAGGAATAATTCCAAGGAGGATGTAAATCCAAAGAGAGAATATCACTTGATGATTAGTATGAATAATTATAATTATATATGTTATTATATATGTATAATTATCATTATTATTTTTATATATATATATATATATATATATATATATATATATATATATATATATATATATATATATATATATATATATATATATATATATACATACATACATACATACATACATATATATATATATATATATATATATATATTATATATATTTTGAATTTTCCTTAGAAATGTCTACATTAAATGTCTACACATTCAATTAAAAAAAAAGAAAAAAATATCCTTGATAATGGCTAATAGAATACCCAAAAGTGCTCGGATATATAGAACATTTGGACAGTTTTGATACACTTTATGTCCAGAAAAGAAATGTATTATATGAACACAAGAAAAATTGAATAAAATGCTTATTTGTATTACCTTGTCAGTTTTTTTTTAAGTAAACCTGTATATATATATAAGAAATATAGTTTTAAGGTGTGCTATATTTAGGGGATAAAGTGCTCAATATCAGAGATAGAGCATATGTAAATATAAAATGAACATTGAAGTCAACACTCAGAGGCGACAGGCTGTTTCATGCTAGATGCAATCGTCAGGCCACCTGACGATTGCGTCTAGCATGAAACAGCTTGTTGCCTCTGAGTGTTGTTAATGTTCACTTTTATATTTATATATATATATATATATAGAGAGAGAGAGAGAGAGAAAGAGGGAGTGAGAGAGAGAGTGAGAAAGAGAGAGAGATTGTTTAAAATTTGCTATATTTATAGGGAAAGAGTGCTTAATACTGAAAATAGAGCATTTATAAATACAGACATTATGGACATAGGAATCAACACTGCATGGTGACTATCAGTTTGACACCTCAATGCAAACTTCAAGTACCATAATCCATTAGTGTATGAATTTGAAAATGAGCTCTGAATTTTATTTAGTACCTCTTCAGAATAAGATAGATTCCTAAATAAAAGACCAGAGTTGATTTCCAAATGAAGACAAATTCCTATTATGCTCTCTACAGCAACATTATAACCAAAAAGACTAAATAAAATCCCAAAGCCTATATCTAATAAACTTTATTCAAAATAATAAAACTTAGGGCCAAGGAAAAGCAAAGAGTAGAAAAAATATAAATATAAATAAATGAAATCTATGAATGAATATGAATGGAGTATATGAATGAATAATGATAAATGAATATATAAATAAACAATCTGGAGGTCATTAACATAATTAACCCTACAAATTAGCCCTAAAAAAGAATTAGGAAGGGCTGACATGGTGATTCAGTTGAATATTTTTTTTATGCGGTCAAATTTTCATTCCCTTAACCTTCCACAAACTCACAGCACTAACAATGAAAAGGTCAAGGAGCTGGAAATAATGTATATAGAATCTGTATTTGAACTATAAGCAATTTTAAACCTGCTTTTGCAATAGAATGTTCTTAGTAAGTGAATATTTTTATAAAACCTATGTGTAATGAAAACAGGACAAGAGATTCTGTCTAGTAATTGTTTATTCAATTAAGAATACTACTACTCATCTGACTTGACAGCGGAAGTATACAGCTTTTATAGCTTGGATTATCTAAGAGGAGATAATCCATATTCACAACATTCTCCCCCACCAAATTTCTCACTGATAGGGAAGAAAGTCCCTTAAATGTCCAGGCTCCCCTACGAGTTCAGTGGCCGCCTCGGCAGTCCATGATTCGTGGTCGGAGTACTTGAACAGGGAGGCTCTTCAGTGTGAGCCTGTCTGTGGGCTCTAAAATACCTTGCTCCGAAATGTTTCCTTCTCAGAGTGTCGTCAGACGGCGTGTCAGGAACAATTTCAGTGCCATGATCTTCCGGAGGGGCTTCAGTGTCAGGGGTAGTTGGTCTGTCCTCAGGGGCTATCCACGATCTGGGTACGTCTCCGGCCGGTGCTAGGTCCCTGAGAGACACATTAGACTCTCTACCATCTGCATGTCATACTAAGCGCGTACTGAGGGTTCGCCTCTATAAGTTCTACCTCGTCCACCAAGGGATCGTTCTTGGTGTAACGTGCATGTCGTCTCAGAAACACAGTACCGGGTCGAGAGAGCCAAGATGGAAGTGAAGCTCCCTTGAACTCCGTCGCTGAAAAGGTAGAAACCTTTTCGTGGTGGGGTGGCATTCGTGGCGGTACACAATAGGGAACGAATGGCATATAATGCAACAGGAAGGAGATTTTCCCAATTATCAATTGAACATCCGTTATCTGAGGCAGCCAATTGAACGGTCTTCCAAATAATGCCGTTATATTTTCGATTGGCCGTTACCCTTAGGGTTGTAGGGAGTTGTCCGCTTATAGCTTCTCCTCGTTCCTGTAGAAATTGCCGAAGCTGCTCTGACATAAAAAAAGAAGCCCCTCGGTCCGAATGTATATAGGCAGGGGCTCCAAAGATGGTGAACAGTGAGCAGAGGCATTGTATAATTGCAGCAGCCGATATGTCTGAGCAAAGGAAGGCAAAAGAAAACCATAAATATTCGTCGACAACCGTTAATATATATCTGTTCCTTGTTTTGCTTGGTAGTGGTCCTTTAAAATCAAGATTGAGTCTTTCAAACGGTTGTGTTGCTTTTATTAAAACGCCAGTTTTGGGTTTATAAAACCGAGGCTTTATTTCAGCACACGTTTGACAAGAATTTGTAATTCCTTGTAATTCCTTTTACCTCCTCCACTGAGAAAGGAGAGTTTCTACACCTCACAGCATGAACCATTCGAGGAATGCCTGGGTGACAGAGATTGTTATGTAGCGTTCGGAGTTCGTCCCCGCTTGATGCCGTACAGCATGCTCTTGACAGTGTATCAGCTGTTAAGTTCTCCAGGTCGGTAGCTGACGTCAAAGGAGAAACAAGATAGCTCAATTCTCCACCTCGCTATTTTCTCATTCTTTATTTTACTCATAGTTTTAGAGTTGAACATAAAAGCAACTGATTTCTGGTCAGTAATAAGTTTAAAGTGGCGTCCGATCAGGTAGTGTCGCCATTTTCTTAATGCCTCGACTATGGCGTAGGGCTTCCTTTTCAATTGCGGGTGTCGTCGTTCAGCCTGTGAGAGGGTCCTTGAAAAGAAGGCTACAGGACGATCAGCTTGTTTCAAAGAAGCAGCAATAGCACAGTCTGACGCATCCGTTTCAACAACCAGAGGAATATTTTGGTCTATTGTTGTAATTGCAGATTTCGCAATATCCTTTTTTTCAGTCCTCGAATGCCTCAACGGCTTGATGGGACAGAGGAAACGTCTCTACTTGTGTCAATGGATGTATCTTTTCTGAGAACGAAGCAATCCATTGAGAGTAATGAGCAAACATGCCTATAGCACGTCGAAGGGAAGGCTGGTTGTGAGGGACAGGCATCTGGAGTAAAGGTTTCAATCGATCTGCGTCCGGTGCCATAATACCTTTGCTTATGGTATACCCCAGTAGGTTTATTTTGTCCAGTCCAAACGAGCATTTGTCGTTGTTTAGGGTAAGGTTGTATTTATCGACAGCGGACATGAACCGTCTGAGATTTTCGTCGTGTTCCTTTCTATTATGGCCACATACTATGACGTTGTCGATGTACGCAAATGTGCCTTCCAGTTTCTCATCCATTATGATTTGGTCGACTATCCTTTGGAAGCTGGCTACCCCATTCGTAACGCCAAAAGGAATCCTGTGAAATTGATATACTCGACTGTTCGCCTCGAAAGCAGTGTATGGCTTGTCTCTAGGTCTAATGGCGATCTGATGGTACGCGCTTTTTAAGTCCAGAGTGCTAAACATACGACATTTGGCTATTTCGCCTATCATTTCATCTATCCTGGGTAGTGGGAAGGCATCCAAAAGAGTAAATCTATTTATGGTTTGGGAGTAATCTATAACCATTCTCTTTTTATGGTTGCTAGAAGTGGTTATAACTACCTGAGCCCTCCAGGGTGATTTGCTAGGCTCAATTATACCCTCCTCAAGTAGTCTTTTTTATCTCAGAGTCAATGAATTTTTATTATTATAAGAAAAACGTCTGCTTCTCACTGCTATGGGTTTGCAGTTTTCAGTTAGGTTTTCGAAAAGTGACGGGTACTGGATTTTTGCTGTCGCCAATCCACAAATTTTCAATGCAGGCATTGAACCGCCAAACAGAATTTCAACCTGTGAGTGTTGCTGCAAAAAATCGTGTCCCAGTATTATTTCGCAACAAAGGTTTTTCATTACGGATAATTTAGTGGTTTTATAGGAGACATCATTAAATAGTAAGTCCACCAAACAATAACCACTTACTTGGCGCAGACAATGACGCGTTTGCCATTGTTACTCTGCTGGGGAGGGGACAAAATACAATTTGTTGGTTTTTACCAAGCTTTCTTTGATAAAATTTCCTGAGCTCCCGGTATCAAGCAGGGCATTTGTAGACCTCCCGTTAATTTTTACTTTTACAATAGTTTTTGAAAGGCAGTTGAGGGAGGCGGCTAAAGTTGCAGAAGTATTTTGACGAATGGATTTGTATAGAGTTTTAGAAGACTTGCATACCTTTGAAAAATGACCAAGTTTTCCACATTTATGACAACGAGTATCTCTGTCAGGGCATAAGACTCGTAGGTGTTTAGATAAGCCGCAAAAATAGCAAGTGTCCTTTTTAAAAGCGGCAGTGACCGATTGTTCTTGAAGCTTCGTCGGACTATCGTCATGAGGGGGGACAGTAAGAACAGGTGGGTTTAACGCTATGCCCACGGTGTCTGGCTGTAAATAAGAACTAGACTGCTGTATAGCACTTTTGAAGATATAGGCTTTGCTCGTAAGCTGTTCTAAGTGTAAGGGTCTTATTCTCAAGAAGACGTTGTCTTATCTGAGTATTATGTAAGCCATTAATGAAGGCATCCAAAATGTGTAGCTCTTGGGCCTCTAATGCCGTCATTGGGCAGAAGTTGCAATCTTTGCTCAGTGTCCGAAGGCTCTTAAGGAAATGGTCCAATGTCTCGCCTGATTCTTGTCTAGAAAATATCTCATTTTGGGGCTTTATGTATGTAGCGTTCAGTACATCGATTTTCTTCAGAGGTAACGCAATCCAAGATAATTTCGTTGACTGTGTGAGACAGGTAGTTGGTTAGGAGCGCACGCTTATTGATGGGACGTCCCGGTTTTTCTGAATGTAGAACCTCGATGAAATTTGTAAATGTCTCTCGCCAATGTTTCCAGCACCTGTCAGCTGAATCGCTTTCTGGATCTGTGGTAAGTCGCTCAGGTTGCATAAATTGTTCCATTCTTAATTGAATAAAATGTAATGAAAACAGGACAAGAGATTCTGTCTAGTAATCGTTTATTCAATTAAGAATACTACTACTCATCTGACTTGACAGCGGAAGTATACAGCTTTTATAGCTTGGATTATCTAAGAGGAGATAATCCATATTCACAACACTACGTATTGCCTAAAAAGAACAAAAGTACACATCAAAGTAGATAGTGATTTTCCAAGCGCAGCTTAGATGTGGCACAAGGCCGAAAGTATGGGGCACCCAGTGAAGATCGAACTCACTACTCAGCCATAATTGTTATAGCAAGACAAGCTTGCTAACCATTACACCACCTTGAGGTGCCAGGCATCAAAGTAGATATTGATATAAAAAAACATGTTTTGGACCTGGCTCTGTTACTATGGCAGCTGTACCTTGGTTATCCAGCAAAGAGACAGTTATCAGTCAGGATCAGTGGTACAACAATAAAAAAAATCAAATCAAATCTTTAAAGTCAATTATAGATAAACAGCTGGAAACACAGCTGGTGTGAGATATTTGAGAATGTTCTGAATAAAATGTCTTTATGGGCCAAAAGTAGGTTATCTCCCAGAATTTGGAGTAAACACGGTTCTCCTATGATAACCGAACTTAAGCAATGTGGAGCCTGGTCAGTACCTAGATAGGTGACTGCTTGGGAATACCAGGTACTTGGATGTGTGGGTGGTGTAATGGATAACAGTTTGAAATAAGAAATCAGCGAGCAGAGTTCAAATTCCAGTTGGATTCGTTATATTCACTTTTGTGCAAATACACTTGGGAAAGGTATAAATTCACCTTTTCTCTCCCAGTTATGGGTTAAATAGTAGGGTTTGTATATGAAAAACATTATTATTTCCCCAAAATTCTTAATACAATATTCACTTGCAAAAAATGAAAAAGAAAAAAAAAAGAAATATTCTTACAATCCAAAATCTCTTTCAGCTTTAAATAACCTACAAAAGGTTGATAAGCCATAAAAAACAAATCGATCAATTTGACTGGAGAAGAAATATCTTTTGACTTTCAGTAAGAAATCAAGATGGTGTAACCCTGGACTAGTGACCTGAATTGACCCACTGCAAAGCAATAACCGTAGTTCACTGAACACTAATTCAAGCCACATAGAATGTTGTGACGATGCAACAAATATACTTGAAATATTGTAATCCATCATCTATGAATGACACTTCCATTGTTATTCAAATTGTAGTGTAAACAAGCTTTACTTATCAAGCCAGACTCTCATTCATTATTCGTTTGATCTATTAAATAATTGATAAGCTGAAATTCTCATAAAATTTAATTAATAAATGTTATATACTTATGTTGTAGCATACCTACAGACGATAATGAGTATGTCCCCATTCACATAAATACAGTAGTAAATACTGTATGTTGGTCTGCAACTGGAGATTCATTGTGGAATTCACTTGAATCACTTCTAGCAGTTGACTATTTCTTCTACATGCTGTTGGTGACTGTAATATGTGTTGTTCTTGTCCTTATTATCATTCATTACCAACCTTCGTGTGATTATTCTATTCAGTAACCTTCTCTAGGTTACAACAACTTATATCATTGAACTCTCTCAAGATTGGCAATTGATTTTGCATGTAATGACTAATTTAAAAAGTTTGTTGAGTTGAGGAAAATTAAAATCATTTTCTTTTTATAAAGTTTATGAAACAAAATATTTGACATTTTATTCCACTGACATCCTTCATGTAATTTCATATTTACATCCTCCGAGAAATCTTTTTTTTGGGCAAAAAAACTGCTCACGGCACTTGTTACAATCTTCCAGGTAAGTGAAATTTTTCCATTAAGAGAATTCTGTAATCATCATCATCAGCAGCAGTCCCATAAACAGGTGAGGTTGTAAAGTCACTATACAGCTGAACACCTGACCAGTTCACACCTCATATCTGGTTCGAAAGCTGGAGATTCATTCATGCATAACATGTCTTGGGTAACTATTCCTCCATGCATGCTGTTTCTTGGGCAGGTGGACCTGATAGAGTGCATCCCTTTCCAGATCAAACCACAGCAACTTAATGGCACACTTTGGTTATATGGCCACTGATTCTGTCAGAGGAGCCCTCTGTCCAGGCAGTTGACTACAGTCTAAGAAGCTCTCCACCCAGCAATGCTATCTCATCACCACACTGGCTGCATCCATAGCTATAGAGCCCAGTCTACCCCACTATGCTAGATAGCCGTTAAT